GGGGTTTGGCCTATTGTCTGATAAACATTTCTCATCCATCTCCACAGGGCTTTCTGGGTTTGGCAACCAATTAGATTAATCCTTTGGGACAGTGGTTCTCAACCCTGTGGGTCCCCGGGTGTTTTGGCCTACAACTCCCAGAAATCCCAGCCAGTTTACCAGCTGTTATGATTTCTGGGAGTTGAAGGCCAAAACATCTGGGAACCCACAGGTTGAGAACCACTGCTTTAGGAGGTTCAAAGCTCCAGGCAGTTTTGGAGATGAGCAAACAATGCACAAATATCTATAGTAACATAGAAACAAGAATGTATGTATGTGTATTTTATAAGACTCTCAAGAAAATAATATAAATCAGGATAATATCAGACCATTGAATCTTCGCAGCTGCAGTTGTTATACTAATAAATATTTAATAGAAATAACATTTTGATTAATTATTTAGGGAGGTGGGGGTCAATTTTTCGACAATAGGACTGTTTCATTTATGGCTGCTGTGGCATCAACAAATTTCAGAAGCTATGGAGGGTGAAAAACTGGTCTCTTGACCCACCAAAGTTGCCTTCCTCTGAACTATAATGCCTTGGGCTCTTGTTATCTGCCTTTGACTCCTACCCTGTCATTTATTCAAATTTACTATTGTTTTCTTCTGAGATTGAATGAGTGTGACTTGCCATGGGTTTCCATGGCAAGGAATTGAATCATGTTCTTCCAGAGTTGTAATCAAACACACAAAGCCCACAGGTTCCCCCCACCTCTGAAAATTATTGTTCAATAAAGGTCTTTTGTCAAGTTTACACAGAAAATATCCTGATCAGCCCCACAGATATCTTTATTTGCAGAACTATTAAGGTCAAGATTCAGAAAAGTAAAAAAAAGATCACTGAGATTGTTATATCTAATTCCCATCTAATTTCCATCCCACAGTACTGTCATTTTAATCTATATTTACATTAATTGAAACAAGTTGCTTAAAACAGCATGCAGGGACCCATCTCTCTTCTTTTAATGAAGTACACAAAGTGTCCATAACAGACTAAGCCTGACTGTGTGTGTGTGTGTGTGTTCCTAGTTTACCACAGGGTAAGAAAATACACCTTTTGCTTGAGTGCTTCATTATCGAATTTAATCTTACCAGACACCTCTTACCTAGGAAAACTGTGAGCCCTTTATTTAAGAATACAGAAGGTCTTCACTTTTTAATACATCATCATTTACAATAATGATGATTCCACATATTACTATTAATTATCCTTTCTGAAGCACTTTTCTACCCACAACAAAAATGACAAGACAGTTACAACTGGTATGTATTAAATCAATGCACAGAAACAATGTGCAGGTTCACAGTTTGGGCGTGATCCTGGACTCATAGCTGAGCCTGGAACCCCAGGTCTCAGCAGTGGCCAGGGGAGCTTTCGCCAACTGCGCCCATATCTTGAGAGGTCTGACTTGACCATGGTGGTCCACACTCCATGGTTATGGAGATTTGGCTGTAGTTATATCATAGTCTTATTAACCCTACAGTTTTGATCCACCCAAAAAGCATTGGAAAGTGAACCTGTGATTAATGAGAACTTCCCAAGCTCTGATCTTAGATAACATCCCATTACACTTTGTGTGTCTTCCTCCCAGGTAAGCCCATATGGGATAGTGGCCTCAAAATACTGCTCTAGATTCCAGTCTCCAATAGCCTGTGTAAAACTCGACAGAGCAACTTGCAACCCAAATTGATCCCGGATCCAGATGCTCCCTCCGAATTCTGGATGTCTTCTCCAACATTAATGTTTTAATTTATAAATTGTTGATTTTTTTGTGTTTTATTTATATTTTTATTATTTGTGTATAGCTTTAAATTTGTATTCACTGTTGTTGGCTGTCATAAGTTCCATTGTCAGGAGAAAGGTGGGATATGAATGAATACAACAACACCAATAATAATACTCCTGACCTCACAATCATGTTAAAAAACAAAATATGGATCGTTGATGTTGCAATCCCAGGTGACAGCAGGATTGAAGAGAAACAACTGGAAAAGCTGACACGATACAAGGATTTCAAGATTGAACTGCAAAGACTCTAAGGTGGTCCCAGTGGTGATCAGCACACTGGGTACAGTGCCTAAAGACCTTGGCCTGCACTTAAATACAATCGACGCTGACAAAATTACCATCTGCCAGCTGCAAAAGGCCACCTTACTGGGATCTGCACGTATTATTCGCTGATACATCACACAGTTCTAGACACTTGGGAAGTGTCCGAGGTGTGATCCAATACAAAAGCCAGCAGAATGATCTTGTTTGCTGTTGACTCACCTTGTTGTGTTTCAAATAATAATAAAAATAATAATTCAAAGTAATTATTATCACTATGATTATTAACATTATTTCCTCCTCAGTCGCAGTGCCTCCAACTCCTCCAGCCATGTTTTCATTGACAAATTGTTAAAATGTTTTTTTTAACAAACATTCGGTGATTCATATTTATTTATCATGTCAGAAGTGAATTGAAGGTACAGTTGTGATGTATTTTAAAACACAAACAAAGTTAAATACTAGTCCTTATACTAAATGTCTTTTGACCAGTAGCTGGCCACTTGGAGTGACTCTAGTGTTGCTATAAGAAGGTCTCCCATTGTGCATGTGGCAGGACTCAGACTGCATTGTAGTAGGTGGTCTGTGGTTTGCTCTTCTCCACACTTGCATGTTGGACTCCACTTTGTAGCCCCATTTCTTAAGGTTGACTCTGCATCTCGTGGTGCCAGAGTGTAGGCTGTTCAGTACCTTCTAAGTCACCCAGTCTTCTGTGTGCCCAGGGGGGAGTCTCTCATCTGGGTTTCAGCCTCTCACTTTTAGACTCTCGCTTGTTGAGGTATTCCTGAGAGAATCTCTGTAGATCTTATGAAGCTATTTCTTAATTTAAGGCATTGGCACGTTGGCTGATATCCAAACAGAGGATGGGCAAGAGATGTCACTGCCTTGGTCCTTTCATTATTGGCTGCTATTTCCTGGCAGATGTCAGATTGTGCAATACTGGCTAAACAGTACAATTTCTCCAGTGGTGTGGGGCATAGATATCATGCGATAACGTGGCATATCTCATTAAGAGCCATATCCACTATTTTAATATGGTGAGATGTGTTCCACACTGGGCAGGCATATTCAGCAGCTGTTGAGCTTGCTGACTGAAAAGTTGCAGGTTCGAATCCGAGGAGCAGTGTGAGCTCCCGCTGTTAGCCCCAGCTTCTGCCAACCTAGCAGTATGAAAACATGCAAATGTGAGTGGATTGATAGGTACCACTCCAGTAGGAATGGCGCTCCATGCAGTCATGCCAGCCACATGACCTTGGAGGTGTCTACGGACAACGCTGGCTCTTCCGTTTAGAAAAGGAGATGAGCACCAAACCCCAGAGTCGGACACAACTGGACTTAATGTCAGGGGAAAACCTTTACCTTTACAATTTAATATATAGTACTGAATATTATAATATAATAGCACTGAATATTATAATATAATAGTACTGAATGTTAACTGGGAATTAGAGGGAGAAAACATGGAGGCAGTGACAGACTTTGTATTTCTAGGTGCAAAGATTACTGCAGATGCAGACTATGGCCAGGAAATCAGGAGACGCTTACTTCTTGGGAGGAGAGCAATGTCCAGTCTCGATAAAATAGTGAAGAGTAGAGACATCACACTGGCAACGAAGATCTGCATAGTAAAAGCAATGGTATTCCTCTTAGTCACCTATGGATGTGAGAGTTGGACTACAGGGAAGGCTGAGCAAAGGAAGATAGATGCTTTTGAATTGTGGTGCTGGAGGAAAGTGCTGAGAATGCCTTGGACTGTGAGAAGATCCAACCAGTCCATACTTTAAGAAATAAAGCCCAACTGCTCATTGGAGGGAAGGATAGTAGAGGCAAAAATGAAGTACTTTGGCCACATCATGAGAAGACAGGAAAGCTTAGAGAAGACAATGATGCTAGGGAAAATGGAAGGAAAAAGGAAGAGGGGTCGACCAAGGGCAAAATGGATGGATGGCATCCTTGAAGTGACTGGATTGACRTTGAAGGAGCTGTGTATGGTGACGGCCAACAGGGAGCTCTGGCGTGGGCTGGTCCATGAGCTCACGAAGAGTTGGAAACGACTGAACGAATGAACAKCAAGTGAATATTAAAGTAATATTAATATATATTATTAAAATAATATTAATAAATATTACTTTATTACTATATTAATAAATCWTCTTAAAATACTATTTATTACTCTTATTTGACATAATAGTACTAAATATTATTAATAAATGATTTCCAAAATAATATTAATAAACAATATTCAAAATAATATTCTTACATATTATTTAAAGTAATAGTACTAAGTATTATTAGGAGCRCCCGGTGGTGCAGTGGGTTAAACCCCTGTGCCMGCAGGATTGTTGGCCAATTCTCTCACACCAGAAGCGACTTGCAGTTTCTCCAGTCGCTCCTGACACTACAAAAAAGAAAAAACTAAGTATTATTTAAAATCACATTAATAAATATCATTTTAAATTATGATCGTTATTGCTATTACTAAAATAAATCATGAAGAAGAACCAGGAAAATAAGGCTCTGACTGTAAATAGAAGGTCAGCTGCTGTCCTCTCCTTTTTGCCTTGTCTTTTACTGGTGTTGTATTTTGAAATGGTCATATGACTGGTCAAATAAATAAATTATTATTATTATTACTCATGAGTATGAACCCTATTGTTAAGATTCATAATCCCGCTCTTCCTTCCCCGCCTGTCCAAGGGGTCCCTCCCTCCCTCCCTCCCCTGTCTCCCAGCCCAGCCCTCCTTCCTTGACTGGGCAACAGCCCCAGCTGGGACTCAGCTCCATCCCAAGGCAAGGCAGCCAAGCCGCGCGCCCACGCCTCGGAGCATCTTTGCAGAGCCAGGGAATCGCCGGGGTCTGGAAGAGGAGGAGGAGGAGGGGGGGGGGAGAGGGGCGGGAGGGAGAGGGCGGGGAGGGAGCATAAAAGCGGTCCCGCCGCCCCTCTTTCTGTCCCGGGCGGGCCATGCGTGGATCCCGGCGGCGAGGCTTCCGATCAATCCCGCGCCTTCCTTGGCGGCCGGAGCCAATCCTCCTTCGAGAGGTGGGCGGCAGTCGCGAGCCGGAGGCGCTCCAAACTTCCAGCATCGCCGGGGCAAAAAGCAGGAGCAAAGCAGGAGCATGCACGGCGGAGGCAAGGGCGCCCACGCGGGAGGCTCTCCACGCTCCCTTCCCTGCCATGAGGCCTCGGCATCCCAGGTGAGCCAAGGGGCAACGCGGGGTGGTGGAGAAAGGCAGCATCCTTCGCCACGGTGGGGTTTTGCCATTTCAGAAGGGCATCATGAGTCTCCGGCTTCCAGCTCTCCATCCATCCGAAGTGGAGGAGATGGAGAGAGGTCTCTCTCCCCTTTTGCTCTCTGTTTTTGCCCTGCTCTGGATCCTCCCTGCTTCCCCTTCAGAGGGGCAAGGAAGGGGTATGATTAGGGTGGGCAGCGTGGAAGGAGCGTCCTCCTTCCAGCCTTGAGGAGTTTCTAGAAAGGAGAAAGAAAATATGTAATTTTGAGCCACCACTCAAAATTAGGAATTGTGGAAGTTGCAGTCCAAAACACCTGGAGGGCCGAAGTTTGCCCATGCCTAGGGTTATTGGTCTGTGGCACAGTTTGGGGAACCAGTTCCCCACCACAAGTGGTGCTTGACCATGGTTCCCACCAGCTCCTGCCCCTTTGGACAAGAGTAAGGCATGAGGAGTGCTGTAATCCAGCACATTCTGGAAGACTATGAGTTATACTTGCCTGCTCTGAAGAAGAAGGTCCTATTCTGGGCAGTTGTTGTCCTTCCACACTGTCAACAACTGCCCAGGATAGGACCTTCCTCTTCAGAGCAGGCAAAGAGAAGCCATAGTTTTCCAGACTGTGCTGGACTACAGCACCCCTCATGCCTTACTCTTGTCCTAATGGGCAGGAGCTGGTGGGGACTATGGTCAGGCACCACTTGTGGAGGGGAACTGAGGGGTGCTGTAATCCAGCACATTCTGGAAGACTATGGGTTATACTTGCCTGCTCTGAAGAAGAAGGTCCTATTCTGGGCAGTTGTTGACCTTCCCCCTGTCAACAACTGCCCAGAGCAGGAAAAGAGAAGCCATAGTCTTCCAGACTGTGCTGGACTACAGCACCCCTCATGCCTTACTCTTGTCCAAATGGGCAGGAGCTGGTGGGAACCATGGTCAGGCACCACTTGTGGAAGAGAACTGGTTCCCCAGACTGTGCCACAGTCCCATAACATGGGTTACCCAAGGCATTGGCAAACTTTGGCCCTCGGGTAGGCTGTTAGGAATTGTGGGAGTTGAAGTCCAAAATACCTGGAGGACCAAAGTTTGCCTATTCCTGGATTACCCTATGTGCTAATTGAAAAGTTGCAGGTTCGAAACTGGGAAGAGGTGTGAGCTCCCGCTGTTAGCCCCAGCTTCTGCCAACCTAGCAGTTTGAAAACATGCAAATGTGTGTAGATCAATAGGTACTGCTCTGTTGGGAAGGTAACACTGCTCCATGCAGTCATGCCAGCCACATGACCTTGGAGGTGTCTACGGACAATGCAGGCTCATCAGCTTAGAAATGGAGATGAGCACCAACCCCCAGAATCAGACACGACTGGATTTAATGTCAGAGGAAACCCTTTACCTTTACTATTTAATATAATAGTACTGAATATTAAAGAAACATTAAAATACTATTTATTAATCTTATTTAATATAATAGTACTACATATTATTAAAGTAATATTAATAAATAATATTCAAACTAATATTAATAAATAAGAGTTGAAGTCCAAAACACCTTGAGGGCTGAATTTGCCTATGCCTGGGTTACCCTATGTGCTGATGTTTAAGTCTAGAAATGCTAGTGAAAACAAATCCAGTTTAACAGTGAAAGTGTTGTACCTTTCCTTGCATCCAAGAGAGGAGCCATTCCTTTTTCTGACTAGAGTGGCAAAAGGAAAGAACTTAGTCTGTCCTAGGAGAACCTAAAAGCAGCACCAACCTTCCTGGTTCTTTCTGCTGTAGCGCCACTTTTGGCCATTTCGAATGCCTGGGCAAGGAAATGGCAGTGGCTTGGGATGGTTGGTCCCTTCAGTTAACATTGATGCTTCGGTCAGCATGGTATAGTGTCTAGAGATCCAGGGAAGTCATGCTACCCCTCTATTCTGCCTTGGCCAGACCACAGCTGCAATACTGTGTCCAATTCTGGGCACCCAAATGAAGGGAGATGTTGACAAGCTGGAATGTGTCTAGAGGAGGGTGACTAAAATGATCAAGAGTCTGCCTATGAGCAGCGGCTTAAAGAGGTGGGCATGTTTAGCCTGCAGAAGAGAAGGCTGAGAGGAGACATGATGACCAAGTATAAATATGTGAGGGGAAGTCAGGGAGGAGGGTGCAAGCTTGTTTTCTGCTGCCTTGGAGACTAGGAAACGGAACAATAGCTTCAAATTACAGGAAAGGAGATTCTACCTGAACATTAGGAAGAACTTCCTGACTGTGAGAGCTGTTCTGCAGTGGAACTCTCTGCCCCAGAGTTTGATGGAGGCTCCTTCTTTAGAGGCTTTTAAACAGAGGCTGGATAGCCATCTGTCAAGGATGCTTTGAATGCGATTTTCCTGCTTCTTGACAGGAGGTTGGACTGAATGGCCCATGAGGTCTCTTCCACCTCTATGATTTTATGATTCCTCTCTGCGTGGAATCACCCTCAACTTATCCATAGGTCATATCACGATCTGTAATTTTGCTCCCAAATTCTGCTTTCGACTTACACCTGGGTATATACTATCGATACAGAAACTCACCTGCCTATGGTGGCATGTCCTACTTTCTCTTCAAATGGCTCATGTGTTTTTAAGAGTTGTCCATCCAAACTCTAAAATAAAGAACCCTAAAGAAGAAGAGCACAGACCCATGAATTTGCCTATCAAGAGCAGCTAGTATCAGACTGACACCCTGTCCCATCATTTTGAAATGTGTGCATAGCTTATGTACTGCTTAGAAATTGTACTTTTTTTACCTCAATTGAAATTAAAGTGTAATTAATAATAATAATAATAATAATAATAATAATAATATTTTTTATTTATAACCTGCCCTCTCCACAAAGGGACTCAGGTGGGTTTACAGAAATAACAAAAATGGTGAACATTCAATGCCAGAAAACAGGTAAACAACAGTCAAGGCAAAACATAAAATCAAATAACTCAGTATGACTTATAAACAAAGTAAAAGGTGAAACTAAATAAACATAATAAGTACAAGGAATCAGACCATTAAAATACTATACATTAAAAGCACAATATAATATATTGCAACATAACATAATGTGCAAGTACTACATGCATATAGCAATGATTTGCAAATTGGCATCTGTATACATAAATCAGCACATGCGCATTTGGATATAAATGTTTTAAATAAATAAATAAATAAATTTGCATCGATACATGCATTTGCATGCACTTATAAATACATGAGTATATTTGTATTTGCACATTCATTTGCATCTGTACATATACATCAACACTTACACATTTTAAGAACCACTTTGTCGTCTTCTGTCCATTTCAGGGGGCACAGATGCATGTACAGATGCAAATGGGCATACATATGCACATTTTTAAATAGTTGCTATTTGCATGTACTGGCACTTAATTTCTAAGAGCGAAGAAAAGATGGAAAGTGCAGGTGAAAAAAAATGAAGGGGTGAAGTAATACCGATTGCATGTACTGTAATACCGGAAGCAGATTGCATGTACTGTATATATAAAAATCAAAAAGTAGTGACAAAGCAAAGAATGGAATCTCTAGTGTCCAGCAGCAAAACTATAGGAGGAAGAAGGCAATGAGTCTTAAGAGATATATATTTTCATTGCGATCTGGTTTGAGAGCACATCACATATATTCAGTAGGATCTGAGTTGAAATGTGTAAGGTTGCCCTATTAAGTTGATCTAGTGTTAAGATATGTTTTAAATGGAAATGAATTATGGATGGAGGCAAATCTCAAGACAAAACTTTGTGAATCAGGTAGATAATTAGGAAGCAGCATATTGCCAGCAGCTTACTGTTGGGAGAAGGTGGAGTATTCAAGCTTCATAGCAGAGCATCCATGCTTTCTCTTTATAGAAGAGAGAAACAGAGGAATTCTACTTGGGAACTGCGAGGCTCAGCTTTGATAAAGCAACTTGTACAAGACTGTAAACTAGAGTGATAGTAAATTTTGTGTGTGTGTGTGTGTGTGTCAGGAGCAACTTGAGAAACTGCAAGTCACCTCTGGTGTGAGAAAATTGGCTGTCTGCAAGGACATGCCCAGGGGCTGCCCGGATGTTTTTGATTTTTTTACCATCCTTGTGGGAGGCTTCTCTCATGTCCCCACATGGAGAGTCGGAGGTGACAGAGGGAGTTCATCTGCGGTCTCCCTGGATTCGAACCTGCAACCTGTTGGTCTTCAATTCTGCTGGCACAAGGGTTTAACCCATTGCACCATCAGGGATTCCTAGTAATATAATAATAATAATAATAATAACTGAAGGGACTTGGGGAGGCTTACATAAAGCACAAAGTGCCAACATAGCAGAACATGAAATAAAACACAATTTAAAAACAATTGAATAAAACATGTAAACATGTAAACAGCAACATAAAAGTCAGAATAAAACCACACTCATTGGTCAATGGCAGTTGCTAATGTAAACATTGCCAGGCTGTAATCATGGAGCAAGAGAGTGAGAATAAGTGCAGAGCTGTAACCATAGAACAAGGGCATGGAATAAAGTGCAATGCTGCATAACAAGTGTGTAGATCAACTAGGGACTAGGTGTTCTCAAAAGCTTGTTTGAATAGCCAAGTCTTCAGGTCTCTATGGAAAGAGGATAGTGTGAGGGCTTGCCTAATCTCCCTGAGGAGGGCATTCAATAGCCAGGGGGACATTACCAAGAAGGCCCTTTCCCTCCTCCCCACCAACCGCACTTGAGACTGTGTCAGGACCAAGAGGAGTGTCTCCTCGGCGGACTTTAGAGCAGTGTTTCTCAGCCTGGGAATCAGGACCCCTTGGAGGGTTGTGAGAGGGGTGTCAGAGGGGTCACCAAAGACCATCCGAAAACACAGCATTTTCTGTTGGTCATGGGGGTTTTGTGTGGGAAGTCTGTCCCAATTCTATCTTTGGTGGGGTTCAGAATGCTCTTTGATTGTAGGTCAAACTATAAATCCCAACAACTACAACT